TCCTAAATCAAAAAATTAAGAAATAATTTTTATGAATGTAGGTTATAAAAAAAATATGAGGCTAAGTATCTTCATAAATTAATTTTATATTTTTAAGATTTATTTAAAAAATAAAGAAATCTCCAGTCTCATTTGAATTAATTAAGTTTCAAAATAATCCAGCTAATCATCTAAATTTAATTGGATTAATTATATCTTTGAGTTTTTTAGATTTAAAACTTGAAAAAAATCTCAAATTACTTCAATTTTAGATTAAACTGAAAAATTATGCATATAAAACTTTATTTATAATAATTTAATCATGATTTATAGTGTCTCTTATTTCCCAATGCTTTTACATGTTATCAAGCTTTTGTAACCATTTTATTCCACTCAAGATTAAAATCATAAAATCAGAGCGTAGTTATTAACCCAAATTTTGAGTTTCTTTCGTGTAAATGAATTTTTACCCTTTATTGTGTAATTACACTCTATCCCCCTCATGTCATACAATTTAGAAAAATAATATTGTAAATAGAACATGCAAACAACCCGATTTCAACTAATCTATAATAATTAATTAGATGGATTTACAGAATTTATCAACACATAAATCTTTCATTCCATTGTTATAGATATTATGATGATGATGATGACGGTGTACGTATTTGTCAAGCATAACCTACAATTCTAGATTTGAAAGACTTTTTTGCGAAACAATTATAAATTGGGTGATTAATATGAAACTTTTTGATAAACTTGAATATTTAAAATTTTGATTTAGTGGATTTTATATTCGGTTATTATTGAAAAAATTATTCGTTGTTTTTTAAAAAACCTTCAGCTATCTTTTAATCCTGTCCTAACTGTTACATCAATTATATTCGGTTTTTATTGAAAAAATTCAACTTTTTTTTTTTGTTAATTTAAGGAATCCATAATTTACATTTGTAAGAAATTATTTTTTATTATTTTACTCGAATAAAACTCTATCATTCGTTGGTCAGAAAGGATGGTAAAGGGTATGGTTTTTGAGTTTTAATTAATTTTTAGTTCCATATTACTTTGACGATGTTTTTCCCCTTCCATTGGTGGAGGCACATATCTGATCTAATTACAATTCCATATTCTACAAACCTTGCTGTATAAAATGTATTACAAATAAATATGAAAGTTACTCAAATCCCACCACTATCCATTCTTAATAATTAATGATAAAAATATATATTAAATGATTTAATTAACAAAATAGTACACGAAATTTATCTATAAAATATAAATTTAAAGCACATGCCATCTACACCAACAATCATTATGTAGTATGAGATCTTGCAACAAGGCCAAACGTAGATGATATTCTCGTAAAAAAATACTAAAATATATATATCCTATGATTTGACAGTAAAGATATCAAGTTTTTGTTTATCTTAAAAAACAACTAGAACATAAATAATAAATTAAGATAAGTTAATTGATTGTATTTTAAATTTAAGTTTTAATAGTTATAAATTTGAATTATTTTAAAATTATTAAAGATTTACATGAATATTAATTTTAAGATTTGTAGGATTAATTAAGATACGTATAAGTTTACCCGGTATCCATATTATTAAAAAAAAAAAATAACAAATTTCACAATCACATATTTAAAATATTTTTTATAACAAAATTAATTGGCAATATACAATTATTTCGGAAAATATCAAAGAAATAGTACATACAATTGAAAATATTATCCCTCTTCCTAAATTGTTCACAAGAACACCAGTTTTGGACGAACATATCAGCTCATCATGCCGACCTTAAATCTCTTTTCATCATTCAATGATGGAATTTTATACATAATTTAGTTCTTTCTGTTTTTAACCATGTAGTTCTTTCAATCGAGTATTGATCAGGAGATTCAACTTCGAATTTTTTAAATAATACTAAATACTTTATTAACTAGATGGCTTATTCGTAGGCCAGAGTTTAGAATTGATTGAATCAGTTAAATTAGACTCCTAGGACATTTTAGGTGTTTGGTGGTGTCAACAATGTCAATAACAGGTGAGGGGGCTAAAAAAGAGAGGCAAGAATCTATACAATATATGAAAATAGAGGAAGCTGGAATGATTTCTGAGATCATCAAATAGACATGTTATATCCTAAAAAACTCGAAGTGATTTAGTAACAAGGTTTTTGGGGGTGAATTTGGTACTGCAACGTGCTTCATTTTCTGTAGTTAAGATGGTGAAAATAAGTGTTTCTTGGCGTTGGAAGCCATTTAACTCTAAAAGTTCCTCTGCAGGAGGTTAATGGACTAAAAAAAAGGAGATTGTGAGACCAAAACTAAAAGATTTTTAGAATATTTATAGTATAAAAATCTAGTTTTTTTATTAAAAAAAGTGGTTAGACAGTCGATTTATCTTGATAGAATTAATAATAGATGGATATAATTTATTTATACATTATTAAAGAATAAATATCTCTTATAAAAATATTAATAAATTAAAAAAAATAAAATATTACTAAAAAAAATTTATACACTTAAAAATATACATAAAATATAATTTAAAATATATTAGATTAATAAAAATATCTGAATTGTCATATGCTAAGTTTTTGTTTTAATCTAACTTGGTGGGGTTGAACTTTCCTTCTAAGTTAAGCCCATAAAAATTAAATCTTTTCTGTAGTTACATTGAGCCTATTAGAATTGGTTTTTTTTTTATTATTATTATTATTCTAGGCTGAAGCTGAATTCATAGGATTGATGTTTATTTTTTTTTATATTTATATCTATTTTTTTAATTTAAAATAAATTTTAAAAATAACTAATACAATTATTGTTCTGAAAGTGAATACAGCGAACTTCTGAAAAGGATCACTGCACAGGGAACATGAGCTCTTTTAGCACACGTAAAAAGCGTTATGTGTTCACTTTTCAATAGGTAGGCCACAGCCGCCCGCCCCCCGCCCATCGGCTATATTCAATAAAAGAAATTACATGAACATCACACGAATTAATAATAAAAAAAAGGTTGGAAATGGGATTAGAAAAGAGTTGATTAATGGGTTTTTATTTAATTAAGTCAGCCTTGTTATATCCGGCTTGCGTGTTATATATCTTAATAAAACTTAATAGAATATTTTAAGATAATTAAAACAAGAAATTCGAGCTTAATTAATCTGTGTAAATTCATTAAAATGGTTGCAAAAGCACACAATACAGGAGAATCCAAAGACAGCTGATAGAACGCAACTAGTGAAAAAATTCTGGATGAATTGGGGATGGAGGGCTCGCATGATCTCGCCTTGTCACGAGTACAACAAAGTAGGATAATAATTCCAAATAGACAATTATTATTTCACATGTTTCTCCCAATAGATCCTGTGAGGCTATAAGTGGGGCCCGTATGATGATAATACATCTTCATATGCATGCACAGGATTTTCGATCTCACGTCTCGAACGGAGGAATTTATTTAGTAATTAGATAGTAGATGTCTTTTAAAATTTTTTAAATATTTTTTAATATTAATATATTAATATGATCTGAAAATATTAAAAAAATAATTGAAAATGAAAAACATTAATTATTTTAATTATTTTCAAAAACAATATAAAACAAAAACAAAGGAAACGTATCATTTGTTGATGTATTATTGACGAAGCATGGTCGCGTTTTCTAGTTCACACGTTTATCCGTTAAAATCCCGTGTGATTTTCAGCCATTGAATATATAAAATCAATCAAGTCGGCATCACCAACCAACCATACATCGAAACGTTGCCACTTTAGAAGTCGGCCTCGTACAACTTCAACCAATAAGTAGCTGTCAGGGTTTTGGATCAGTAGCGAGGACATTGACTTGTAGGAGGCATGGGCGGAGGCAGGGGTGGCTGGCAGGGCCCCGGCCCCTCCTTGCTCAGCCAAGGATGACAACTGCCTTCAGAACTGCTATTTAATAATGAGACTATAAGAGTTTGAGAGAAAGGAGAGAGGATAAAGGGTCCATCCATCCCGTTTTCAGGATGCCAGGAAAAATATAAATATCCATCTCGACTAAAATCTAAGATATTTCGTTCAAGATTTTGTTCAATCCTCTTGCCAAGTAAGGTCAAAAACCCCCCATTTCGGATGCTCTCGATCCAAAGGGCACGAGACAGCAGTCCACGGTGATAATAATAATAATAATAATAGTAATAATAATAATGATAATAATAATAATAATAATATAAACAAAAAAATTTACAACTTGCCATAAAACTTATTACATGACTGTTCCCTCGGACACTGTGAATTGGATGGATTTTATTTTTTCTAATGTAAACAAAATATCTAAGTATTATCAGCATATTTTTAATAAAAAATCAACTATGAATTTAAAATATTGATATGATATTATATTTAATGATAATATTTCTTAAAAATATTAAAATGATGATATATTTGATCAATCTAAGTTAATCAGTCAATTCTATAACTCAGGTTATGAAACCATAATAATTCTATAAAAAATTTATAATTAATTATAAAAATTAATTTATAATTAATCTACTAATAAAAGATAAAATTAATAAAATATTAAATTATAAAAAATATAAAATTAATATGAATTAACATATTAAAGTTCCAAGACTGCAGTCTAGGCCATGACCCAATCTCAGGTTTGGAGATGTGGGTTACATGGGAGGTGAGCGGACTAACCAGTAAGAACATGTTTGAAGAAAAATAATGCTAAATTATTTTTTAAAAATAAAAACGACAACATATAACGAATTTTTGGTTTTTTAATATGAAACAGCCTGATTTAAAAACAAAATACAAGAAGAAATAAAAATTGAAATGACAACCTTTTTTTTTTTTGTAAAAAGGAATTACTTGAGTCTCACTTGGGTTGACTCAATGAATCATTTGAGTTTTCATGAGTTAACTCATCCAATCATCTAGATTTGTCCTCATCAACCGGTTAGATCTTCTTAGTTTTGCCCAGTCAACTATATGACCGGTCTAAAAAAAACCTCATCTAGTCTTGGCCTCAGGACATTGAGTCACTCAACCAACTTGCCAGGCCGAGCCCCTCTAACAGTGGTCATGACCCTTCAAATCTGACCCATTGAATATTTTCCACGACAAGAATCTTGGCGATTAGATGATGGCACATTAGTGAATGATAGCGCTGATATATAATTCGATAGAGTAGTATCTAGCAATCCAATTGATCTCATGGCACTCTATCATTGGCTTATAAATAGAGGCCGAGAGCTACCCTAAAGTCTCAGCTTTGCATTGTAACAGATTGCTCCATCTTATATTAATCTAAGGAAGGTACTGAAGAGAGATCCAACATGAAGATAAAGAGTCTTGTTTGGTAGCCAAGGATGACTTGCCTGTATCCTCCCTCGGATTCATGAACACGAGCATTTATGCAGTGCTCAAAAGAAAAGGAGAGGATGATCGATCTCAGCTTGCAGCGACAAGGTCAATCCATTGAAGTAGCGAGAAGCAGGTGATTTATAGCTAGAATCCACATGAGGTTCACAGCAAGTGTCCTTGGCTAACGAGACGGGCTCTTATCTTTCATGCTGGATCTGCTCTTCGTGTGCTCTGCTGGGCAAGTTTTTGATCTAGAAGTCACTTTGGAAGAGACGATCCAGCTAGCTTCCAAGAGGTATATGCACGCTTTACAATTTATTTGATTAGTTTCCTTTGAAAAGTAGAACCATAACTCCTCTGTATTCTTTTACGGCGGCTACTTTACATGACAGCAATATACAGGTTCTTTCATCACGCATCGAGTGCTTCGTTAATGTCGTCTGCCGAGGTATCTGTATTTTGTATATATACTCATGCAATCGCTTCTTGCACGTATATATGCTAATTGTAAAAGGGTTAAACAATACTATTAATTTGTAAGTTCACCGAATAATCTGAAATGATGCATATCTATCTATAACAGGAACATGATGCATATCTACAATGCAATGTCCTCACAGAACATGAGCATCGACTGTTTTATATTTAATGCTTATCTTATGGTAGGGCAAGAGATCTCAAAGAGGCTAAGGAGGAGTTTCAAGTATTGATACGTGAGCACGCGTTGTTTATTCACTAAAAATAAAAAATAATTTAAATAGCTGCTAATCATGTTAGCATTCCCTGCTGTCAGCAATACTTGTTTTTTGTTTGTTTAAGAGATGCTTGTATTGCTTTTCGATTGTTATAATATCTATCAATATTTAATAATAAAATTATAATTATATCGGTTTTTTTATCTTTCATTTACCAAAATTTAGAGGAACGATATAGCAAAACTAAAGTAATCATAGCAAGTTTTTTTTTTTTTTTTAATGAAACTTATGTAAAATGTCTAAGCATAAAACTATAGAATAAAAAACTATTTGGACAGTCTTTTGCTCATTGAAACTCGAATATCATGGTATAAATATTATTTGTTTCCATTTTATGGTTATATTTATGAAAACCTAAACTATCTCCGAAACTCATAATATTTCTTTGTTGTTTTGTTATTTTTTTATCTTATTCTCACGGGAAAAACATATCTACCTAATTTAAATTTACCTCAAAATAAATTGTCATAAAAAAACAAATAAAATCTGAAAATATAATTCCAATTAAAAAAGGCTACTGTTCATATTTTTCTTCTTAAAAAGCTCAAAGTGTGTAATAGCTGTTAAAGAGCCTGGCATTGAAGATTTGTGTATATGATTCTTTGAAGAGTATGGAAAGTGAGACAATTCTATAAATTAATATCTTTAAAACCATAAGAATTTATTAATTAATTGATAAGTTAATAAATTAATAACTTACATATTAATTAATAAAAAATTAATCTATCAAGGTATTCTTTATTTCTTTTTCCAAAAAAAGAAAAAGTTAATATATATTATATGAATACTATCTAATTACTTAATCATGAATTATTATTATTACTACTATAGGCCCTATATGATACCAATAAATTATTTGTAAGTAAATGAAAAATAAAATTTTAATATTTAAAATAAAAAAATAATCTTGATTTTGTTCTCATTTAGTTGCAATGTCATTCTTCCAAACTCTTCTCACAATTGTAACATTATTATCGGCTCTCTTCCATTCAAATATTTCATTGCATTATTTTTTTAAATAAATTTCAATAATGTTAATAAACTAATCAAATTAACATTATAAAAAAATATTTAAGTTAATATAAACCTTAAACCTTGAAAATCATGCATCAACTTGTGGTTTTCTTTCAAAATATTTGAAAACTTAACTTCATTGAAACAAAATTTTCAACGATGATATAAACTATTTTTGTGCAAATATAAAATTGTTATTGTATACTTGGAATTTTCATTGATGATTTAAACTATTTTTGTAAACCTAAAATTGTTATTGTAAACCGGAAGTTTTCATTAATGGTTTAAACCTGTGAATTTTTATCGATGATTTAAAATATTCCACCGTTGTTATTGTTGTTGCAACTTTAATATTTATAAACCTTAAATTATACTCATTAAATAGAATTATTTTTTAAAAAATTATTAAACATGTTGCTGCGAAAACAAATTAAATTTACATTGAAATGTCATCATCCCATCAGGCCTCGTAATTGTGGCATCATTTAATTTATGATCTGACTTGATGGTAAACATCTATTTCAAAGTTGATAATTTAATGTGATTTCTACAAACCATCCCATAATGGTTTGTCAGAATTTTTTAAAATATAAAAAAACCTGACACATCTACATTAAGTTCTTCATCTATGATTGAACATTGACCGATATGACTCTGATTTATTTTCATCGCATCCATAACCATATTCCTATAAGGATCACTAATATCATCTACAACTTTATGTATGCTGCTAACTCTAGAAGTTGACCCAACCATCATTTCTATCAAGGTATCATGCGGAACATATGATTTTTTGTGTGCATACGAACACAAATATTTTTTCATAAACTTTTTTTTATTGAAGATGCATCGTTATAATATATGAATCAATAAATTTTTTATTCTTACACCTCTTGCGCGAGCATTTAATACCCTCTACTAATATTTTTCAAATTAGATAATATGTAATTAATAAAACCCTGGACCTTATTACAATATAAAAATAAACCTGTTAAATAAGCTATTATTTATTTCATCACAAAACACCAAAGTCAAGAATTTGACATAAGTTTTATCAGTTTACAAACAAATATAATTTTATAAAATTTAAAACAAACCATAACATGGGCAAACAATAAATTCATACAACAAAATTGTATAAGTAAAAAACTATTAAATATTGAACACCTAAACAAAATACATATACTACAAAAAATATACAAAAAATAAATATTTAAAATTTTTATTCAATTAAAAAAAGGGTAAATTTGCTTACTTATTTTGGAGAATTCTCAATAAAATATAAATTAAAATATGAATTAGAACACAGAGGCTGACAAATCAAGTATTGTGGTAGCCAATTTTATTATGGATGGTTGAATTATGTTGAAATTTAGGGAATGTAGTTGTTTGTTACAAAAAAAAAAGCATAAGAAAAAAAGAGAAATGAGGGAGGGAAAAAGAAGAGTCGATCATTAGATCATAAATTAAATATTACTGATGGATTCGCTGATGAAATTATTCCATTTGACATTTCATCGGTTATTCTGTTGGTAAAAAGTACTACTTCACCATATGATTTATCTTTTTAATTCTCACTGTAATATTGCTTGTAATTTTATTGGTATATACCAAAGGATTATTTCTATTGGTATATTTATGGAGAAATTTATCATCGGATTAATTATATTATTAAAAGTTACATGTTATTTTACTTTTCTACTTTTTTTTTTATTCTTTCTTTTCTCATTGCAATCCTACTTTGTTTTTTATTCTTTCTTTTCTCATTGCAATTCCCTCATTATTGATAAAATGTTTTTGTCAATGTTTACAAACATATGTAGCAATAAAAATGTTTATCGGTAAAATTCACTATAATTTACTGATAAAAAAATTTAATCAATAATTCTATTTATATTCACTAAATTTCTGGTAGTGCAAACGAACATGAAAAAATCAAAACTTCCAGCACTACTTTGCTAGAAAATCAATGAACTGTTTGTTATTAGTTACTTTCCAATAGAAGCTAAAAAAAGCTTTAACTGTGATTTCTTTTCACTATTAAACAGAAAAAAAATGCTCTTGAAACACACGTAAGAAAACCAACCACGAGAAGCAGGGAACTCTCTTCTCTGTCTTCACAAACACAGTTCTTTTTTGCTTATTCTTTTTCCTTGTTGCTTGTCATCTGTTATTTTCTTTTGTTGTTTGTATTGTATTGTTTGACGTGTATTAAACTATTTTTTGCTTTGATTTGTACTGTAATTATTTTTTGACAATGACAAAATTGTCAGTATTAAGGCTTTGTATATAATAATAAACACCAATAGGATGAAGATGGTTACAATATCTAAGTAACCATAGTAAATAACCAATTGTGGAGCATTATTACAGTATCTAGTAAATAACAGAGCTGGATTTATAAGATGGACAATGATAAATATCTACTTTTGGTTTGGATTCTCCAGAAGCGGGGAAGTCTTGCCTGAAATAAGTTGTTTAGGCAACACTAGTCCCGTGGCCTATAATACGACGTGGGTCGGGGGAAAAATATTTAGCGTTAGAAAAGAATGTTAAGGAACCACAGGTTCGCTTAAAAAACTGTAAGAAAAACAATCATGATTCGTCCGGTTGTATCCAATAAGTTTATCTTATGTAATAAGATGATAAAAAAAATAATAATAACATCAGACAGATCAAACTATAAAAAAATGATCAAGATTTTAAAAAAAGTTCATTAAAAGGAAAAATACAATAAAAATACATTTCAATTTAATCAAACATTATAAGAAGAAAGTAGAAACAAATGGGTAACAAACTATCTGCGTCGACTTGGTTTCACCTATCAAATCCGCAAGTCACCTATCAAATCCGCAATATATTTATATGTATAAAACAAATAGTTTTTTTTTTTAAAATAAAATATTAAAGAATAAAATTAAAAAAATACAAAAAAACTTATATCACACAAGTTAACCTTTTAAAATCATGACTTGGTCACGAGTGTGATGTAATCCAACTAAAAAAAATCATAACCCTCAATTTCCAATCAATCCATCAATTTAAAATTAAAGGATGAAATTGAAAAAAAATCAATCTAAAACAAAATAATAATAATAATAATAATAATATAAAAGAATAAGAATCAAATGTTAAACAAAAATAAAATATAATGGAAAATAACATGTTTGATTTGAATGTGAAATTAAAAAAAAAAATCATACATTTTACAACAGGAATAGAAAAAAAAATTAAAAAAATAACATTTCAATAAAGGATGAAATCAAAAACAAACTTAAAGTTAATAAAAAAAAAACATCATACAATTAAAAACAAGAGGGACTAAATCATAAACCTAAACATGATAAGAGGGCAATATAGATTTTTTATTAGCAACTCGTTTTCAAGGAGAATAAAGAGGGGGCAAAAAAAAAAAAAAATAGGTGGCCACATCCAAATCACCACACCAAATATCACACGAGCCACTTCATCAGGCACGAGATGATGTTAGGATTTTAATGCCACTGTAAATGGCCAATCTCCACCACCACATGCCGTTGCATACACCACTATAAGCATGCATAGCGGTCTCATATATCAGATATATCAGCATATGCTATGCACACACCAATTATTTATTTAAAAAATATTTTTTAAGTTTATTAAAAATTAAAATATCAAAGTACCTCTAACTTAATCTTTTTATTACAAATAAAATAATAAAAAGACAAATAAAATAATAAAAAGGCAAAACAAAGATGAATGCGCCCGTAAACCTAAATTAAAATTATTTTGGTTTAGGAGCATTTTAGTCATTATATTGTGCTAAGATAATGTGAAAAGACTACATGTGCCCAATCAATATGAGAATGACCATTTGATCCATGTGAAATTACATTATTGCTCCCAATCGCTAATTTAATGCGTTTTATTTTGGAAGGACAATAACACAATTGCATTGTTATCATCCACAATGCATTAAGTCAAGGTGCATTGTGAATTCACCACCCCA